GCATAATTCTTGATCAAAAATTACATTTATTGTGAATAGTCATTAAGAAAATGCAAAAACTGATACAAATTAAATTAATTTTAATAAGTATACTAAACTCTGTACTTTAAGTCGCATAAAATCTTGAGATTTTAATTGAAACAACTGCGGAGGATAAACTTTTATTTCTCTTTCAGAATTACACTCTACATTTAGGAAAGTAGACGCTTAATTTATAAAATAAATTAACGTAGCCTAATTTCCCCAATGAGTCCCAGTTATATCATCTCACTCCATTTAAAAAAGTGTTTTTATTTAGATGCATTCTCTGTTTAGGTATTTATCATTAAAGCGTATTTCAGAATTTTCCTAACTTAAAAAATGCACATTTGAAACAATTAAAGGGTCCCAAGCAATTTCTAAACGAGAGGATAGATGCCAATAAGGAAACTAAAGTAGCTAAATCTTTTATAATGAAGCGAAAACTGAATTATGTTTTTCCTTTTCTCTCTTTTTTCAAGTTGCGGAAAGTATTTGGAAGTTCCATTTAGTGACTAGCCAAAATCTCCTAAAAGCTTTTAAAAAATAAAAAAAATAAAATAAAATAAAAAATAAAAAAATTTCTAATGAGCCCATGGACACTAATATCTCATAAATGATCTATTTAAATTTTGATTCTAATATTATGACATTTAGCTAAGGGTGCGTGAGTATAAACGTTCAATGGATATTCATAAAACTTATATCCATACACAAGTAATATAAACTACTAGAAAAATCTACATAAATTATATTTTGTAAGAAAAATAACTACAAAAATTAATTATAATATTAACATAACTAATTAAATTATTATCATATTTGATAAATTATTAACTAAAATGCGTAGCACACGCCCCCACGAAACAAGCAATCGCATAGAATCAAAGCTTCGGATATTAATAAATTAAAGCAGTCGTGTAGCGCAGTTTTTCATGCTATCAGCAAGGTATTTACTTGAATTTAATCTATCTTATGGCCCGCCAACGGCCAAGCGGTAAATTCGTTGAACACTGGTAGTTCGACCCGAGGCTCGAATCCCGGCTAACGGGCTGGTTGCATGGGAGTTTTCATGGTTTTCCCGATGCGTAACGTGTCTAAGAGTCATTTTCCCTTCGAAAGTCCTCCAGGAAGGACTTCCTTCGAGTGCTTTGCCGAATTAAATAAACCAAGCTATGTTTTGAGTTTAAATATGTATCCACTGCTTTTTTATTTCATTATTTCATTGCTCTATACTTGTGCTACTGTTGTATTTATTAGTCCAAAGGGATTTGAATCCCGAAGGACTATTAGTTTCGTTTTGGCATTTTGCGTCGGACTCATAAATGTCGGTTCACTTTTCAAACTGTTGCCACAAAATGTTAGAGTCCTGCATTATATTGAAGAAATTAAATAATGAAGAAGCTGCATAAATGTATGTATTCTCGCATTGTGATAAAACAACGACTACCTAGAGACTCGAAATTTTGAAATAACGGTACGTCCCCCATCTGAATATGAGGAATGTGGAAGGTCAAATTTGAAATTTGAAATTGGTTTTATGATCTATTTCATATTTTGCAAACTATTTATGCGAATTTTTGATTAACAAACTCAAGGCTATTTCAAAGTTAGCCAATTGGCAAAACTGTTGTGGAGGAAAAAAAAAAAATTTTATCTCCATCACGTGAGTCTCTGTTTTTGAAAGTTCTAAAGATATGCTCGTTTTAAAATTATTTTGCGATGTTGCTGTTGCAAATGGAATCTTAATGGTTTAAGTGCGAGGAACATGATATTTAATAAAGAAAGTAACACACAAAATGTTAAAAAACGCCCCTTTGGACGTAATTTAAAATCTGAAACATTTCAGATTTTTTTTTTTTTTTTTTTACAGTTTTACTATATAAGTTAAATGATCAGCAGCCACACTAAATGCAAACATTTTGGTAATATGATGGGTTCTATTCATGGAAATGAGCTGTCAAAAGATACGCAAAGAAAACAAAATGCTAAGGAACACATAACTACACGTACATTATGCCTTAGAAGGAATGTTTTTATGGAATGATTTCTAATGGGAACGGCTTAATGTTCATTTTGCCCATGAGAAATGCCATAAACTTCCACGTAACTTCTCTTTCGGACATCAAGAATCGAATTTCGGACGAAACAACCACGTTCACTGCCCTTTATCCTCTCCGATATTCGTAAGGTGGTTGCTTTGGGTATTCTCACATGAATGCTTTATACTTGTACATAAAAAAGTACGTAAGCATTCATGAAGCCATCTGTTTCGCTACTAAACATTCTTGCATTTGAAGCAAAAATCATGAGTTGTTCGGTTGTATTGCATTCCGTACTACTTAGCAAACTAACGTAAAAGTATTAAAAATAATTCTTTTAATTCCTTAAAGTTATAATTGTAACAGTATTCCTCTGACTTTTGTAACGGATTATGCGTTCTATTTAAATATTTATAAATTACTGGATATTCAACTGCGGTTTTAAAAATTTATTTGTGAGAAATTAATTAAAGATGCATTTATGGTTTTAGAATCATTGTTTGAGTTTATATTTTCACTTTTTAGAACTATACATTAAAACTTAATCTATTTTACAATATTCATTCTTTTGAGCTTGAGGTATGCATTGGTATCATTAACGATTATTTGCATATGATACATGTTTCATGTCGTTCTTTGATATAATATTTCTTATTGTTCGAAATTCCGATATATGATTAGTCAATCGAAATAATGTTCTGGCGAAAGGTAATAATAATTTGAGTGAAATTAATTTAAAGTTTCTTTCATTATTCATATTATATAACTGAACAAGAAATGATAAAATCCCCTCCATTAATTTATTGCTAATTTTTCTTTATCCAAATTTGATATTGAAACGCTTTTATTTTAAAATATGTTTCAGTGTTCAGTTTTGCGAATAAACATTCTGCTGCAATTTCGTAGTAGCAAAACAGACATCTATTCTGCAAATCTGCTTAATTTTGAAAAAAAAAATATATATATATATATTATAATATAATTAAAATAATAAATAAAAAAATTACATGTAGCCCATATCTATTATTTGAAGAAACACATCATGTATTACGTATGGTACTCGGCTTTTCATGTATTACGTGTATTCCCAATGTATTACGTGTCAATTCAATTACACAGTAAGATTTTCTTTACGTGAGATTCTCTTCGAACAGCTATTAGGGATAATGACTTGAAAAAAGTTTCAGAGAAGAAACATGGCAGTTTTCTTAGCTTGACATACTAATTGTACTATATACAATTTTAAAGATTTGATTGTCTATTTAGTCATTTATTATTGGTAGATGCAACTAAAGTCAGTTAATTTTGTTTCTTTATTAACAGTGCAGGGTTTTTCAAAAACGACTGCATAACTAAGTACCTCTTGCATGATAGTTTCTGACTCATATTTCCACGCGAAGACGCGAACCATATTACGCAGCCGTTCAATGTACGGCAGTTTTGGTCCTGGGCACCTTTTAGTAACTTCGCACATTTTTTATGAATATTATTTACAATTTTGATATGGACCTTCTATGAGCAAATTTCTGTACATACATATTAATCTGTGCCTCTTTAATGCGCAAAATCGCGAAACAAATTGACGTGAAATCATTGTCACAGTTATAGTATGTCTTGAATCATTTTTACGCTCTAAAATGAACACAGAGAATGATCATTTTCGTTGCTCGCTGCTTCTGATTTTACTATATAAAATCTATTCCTCTCAGAGTATTTTTTTCTACAAAGTACATGTAAGACCCTAAGTTTCGTATATTTTTCCTAAAAGAATAAAATTAACAAAATTATATACCTTCTTGCTTATTTTTAAATAGAAATCATAAATTTGCTGACAAATATTTAAGATATATTTAATCTTGTGTGCATTTTTAAATCTTTTATAGCACCAGAATATACGGAAAAAATCGCAAGCATGTGAGATTTATTATTTTCAGAAATTTAAATCAAATTTGGTGACTTAATGTATTTTCACGTACTGAATTTTATCGGATAATTGCTAAACTGAATAAAGAAACTGGAGTGTTAAATTTATGTAGAAAAGCGGATTTTGTGGTCGTTTCATAGAGATTTAAACGTTTATTGGAGTTTCCTGTTCCGAATTTCAATTAACATCATTATTCATTAGATTCCAATGCAGAGTTTGTCCTTCTAACTGCCAAGTAGCAATAACAATGATTAAACCATATAATTCCAGGAGCGTTAGCCAATATCAAAAATTAAGCATTATCCTCTTTCAATTGGAAGTTCTTTCCATTCCAGTCTCCATTTAACTGTGTCCGTCATTTCGTGGAAACGGGAACGAAAAAGACGAAACAAGTTTAACTAACAGATTAATCACCAGAAAAGTTGAAATAAACTGCATTATTTTTTATGAATTGCATCCATGCAAATAAAATACCACGTTTCATTTATTCCCAAAGTTTTCGTCACAAAAACGACATAAACTGAAGTAAAATACAAAAATTAATAAATAAAGCAGTTCACTTTAAAAATACTGCAGAGATCATTCTAATTATAATATTTGGTAAACGTTTTGTCCCATGCACAATCAACCATCCAAAAGTAAGTTATACTTTGCTTTCTCTCATAAGAATGATCTAAGCTTCTATCATTCTTTTAGCATTCATCATAAAATCAACGTACAGATTCCAGACAAATGCTGCATTAAAAGAAACGAATTACAAATGAAACTGGGACATTTAAATTGAAAATAATATTTAAACAAAGACTATCAATGATTATATTGTCCAGCAAAGAATGCATCTACCAAATCTAAATTACTTAAAATTTCTACAGTCCGTTTATCAACTTTATTTATAGTAAAATGTGTTCATATACAACCCCAAATATTGATCCCAAATATTGAAATACTAATTCATTTATTACGTAATTGATATTGCAAAATTCAAATTACGTATTTCTTTCTTTCCGTAGATGTATTCTGCAACACCACTTGGGATGGTTTATCCTGCTGGCCGCCAACGAGTGCTGGTACATCAGCTGTTATACATTGTATGGAATATTTGAATAGGGTACCTTATGACACGACACGTAAGTAAAACCATTGTTTAGTAATGCTTTTCATTTTAGAGGACTTGAAATATGCAGAAATTAATGGAGTTAATTGTTTTGTATATTTCTATACATCGAATTTAAGCACAGATTTATGTTGTTATCCATAAAGTATTAATTGCAAATCTAAGATTAAAAAGTTAGTTTCTTGTATTTAAACTAATGTAATATGAAGTAAGAAGTTAAATGCTGAAACATTAAAGCAGCTACACATAATTAATAAAGCATATTATTTCTGAATTAATTACACGACAATAAATTTGTCTCAACCATAAACAGAAGACCTTATTATTTGCCAGCGGCCGAGCGGTAAAGACGCTGAACACTGGTAGTTCAGACCCAGGTTTGAATCCCGCAAACGGGCTGGCTGCATGGGCGGTTTCATGGTTTTCCCCATGTGTAACGTGTATACGAGCCAGTTTCCCTGAGAAAGTCCTCCACGAAGCATCTCTCCCTTTAGGCAGACAGCCCTCGTGTGCTTTGCCATAATTGAATAATACCAATACCTTATTATTTGTCTTGAAAATTTTCTACTTAATGCCAAACAAAATTGAATACAATCCATTTTTCAAAAAACATCTAAATTTCTTACGCATCGATTTCTTAATCAGTATTCAGAAATATACCAATTAAATACTAAATAACTGCATAAGAATTTGTAGGGTTTCTCTCTGAAAATAACAAAAGATCCTTAAATCCTACTAAGAAAGTTAGCGAGTTTTCGCCCCGTCTGCGTAAAAAACAGCTGAGTCCTACTATAGTTTTAACATCCTTTTCTTATTTAAAATTTTAAAATGAATGAATGCACGATTTATGATTACAAATAAAATTTCCGTATTATGCAATATTTATGATAACAAACATTTATGCAACAAGGTCAGTACCTGTGTATCAATACAGACATATTAAGTATCCCCGGCTTTGCTAATTGCTAAGCTTCTGGGGCAACTGGAATTACGAAGAAGAGTACGGTGGGAGGGAGATTCGAGGATCTTCGATTGTTCTTCTCCTATTACCAACCTCTCGAAAGAATTTCGGCTAGCCGGATAAAGTGAGTTACCCTTTGTCGCACAGGCATTATACATTTACAAACATACTTTCCTTCTCGTATCTGGCCCCTTTAGTACAGCAGTCAGCGTTATTGACCACTATCCCATCTGAACGGCGATATCAGGAAATATAAACTGAACTTAAAATGAAAATGAAATACATGTTGGCGATTATAATGAAAATCGCCAACATATATTTCATTTTCATGTATTTCTAATGATTCAAAGCTCATTAGGCTATATTTAAGTAAGCGCAGCAGAGGTGCCGACAGAATCGTAACAGCATAAGAGCGGAAATGCGGAAAACATTTTATCTAAACTTTCAAGAAATACGTCTTAAATATTCTCATTTCATCAACATCCTGATGAGAGCTAACGAAAGAAAAAAATGACAGTACAGTTCTAATTGATATGAAGGTGGATTAATTTATACAAAATATACTTTACAAATTAACACATGCATTGCTTTAATGAGAACATTCCTAAAACGCCTGTGTATTTAATGATTCATGCGGATGGAACCTGTAGTTAATTGTACAATTCATGTTACAAATGGATTATAACTACGACACACTTATGTATGAAATTAGCATCGTCAAGAAATAGACTAAGATCGAGATCACTTACAGAGCGTTTATTGTTTTAGCTACTGATAGAACCAAGAAAAATTTACATTCTTTAGTTAAGGGCAAGTCTTCAACTATAAGCCTCCCATCGCATTTAAAATCATAATATCTTAGCTCTTTCACGTTTGATTACTGTTTTCCTATAAAAGAATGGTTCGACGTTCGATTTCTTTTTTTTTCCACCCATTGATTTTATCAACTATTTGATCTCAACTTAATATGTGTTTTACTGCTTTGCGCATTTTACAAATGTTCAACGCGTCCATTTTTGTTAATATAGCAAATACCTGTATGTTACTGGGAGGATTTATTCGGACACATTAGAAAGCTTGCTAACCAGACAACTGAATGAAAACAGCGATTAGTATCCTGTTCATGAAGACTGTGTTCTAGGTTACTTTGGAACACTACTTAGCAACCTTACAAATATATAAATGTTCTATATGAAGTTCCTGAACATCAGTCCTCCAACATTCAGCAGACATACTATAATTAAAAATTATCACTTAATACAGAAAATCGGAAAGATAATGCTTTTCCGATTTCTCTGCGTGCTTTGCCCTCTCGGAGAGAACTATGTTATGCTACGTAACAATATAACAAAAGACATAACAGGTAAACAGCAAATATGCTGTAACATTGCACTTCTTCCTTAGTGGATGGTATGCTAATGAATGTTATGCTTCCTGTGCGAGGTTCTCTCCTTGAATACAAATATACATACGAGGTTCTCTCCTTGAAGGCAAATACCGACTAACCTATGGAAAATAGACGGTGTCTACAACTTCCTTCAGCAGACAATAACAAATACCGTTTGTAAGAAAGAATATATCAGTCAAAATTTGCCTTGTTCATTTAATCCAGTTGCAAGAGTATAGTAATCAAAATTTGCCGCTAAGGGATAAAAAACATCACAGTGCAAGGAGATGATGCGAAAGTAGTTATGGCACTAGTCTTTAGAATTAATTCCTTTTGTGGGGATGCGAAGGTTATGGCATTTTGCCTTTATTCCCTGCTAGTACTTAAAATCTTTGTAACTGTATCATGTATGCTGTGATTCTAGTTGACCGTTACATACTGGTACCCATAGATGACGATAAGGTTTACAATATAGATGTCCACTATGAGAGCGAAAGAGTCAAAACAAACAATTCGACATTTAGGAAACATATAAATTAAAACATTTACGAGTTTGCATTTGTTTCGATACAATAAAACAAGGTAGAGCAGTTGCGTAGTTTATTTGTTCTTAATATTTAAGAGATCAAGTAGCTCTGATTATTTAAATAAATCAAAATTTATTTGCTTATATATTGAACGTGCTTTAAAACAAATCCCGCATAAATATTCGTTCTAAAACCGAAATTACGGCAACTTGTATCTCTAAACTTTTGCCATTGAAATAGCTAAATGCTAATATTTGAATTTTAGCAAATTTCTCTTATTATATCACATGAACCATTAGCCCTAGATTTATTGTCATTACGCTTTATTATTACTGTAATATTTCTAATTTAATTATTTTGTACAAACTGGAATAGCCCACAGACTTCTCTAAATACTAACATATTTCTCCTATGCGTAAAATCCACTTGAACAAGTTGTTGCATGAAAAATTATGGTCGGGAGTCGGGAGTCGGAGCGGTCGGGAGTGCTATACAGTTACATTTAAAAGGCTTTTGTTCCTTATTTAAGGCAACTATCCTTTTTGAACTGCACTAAAATATTCCCTATTATATAAAAAAACATAAATAATACTAAATATATGGAAAAAATCGCATTCTTACATAAGACGAGATCCTTCAAGGTTTTTCTATGTTAACATAATTATCCATCGACTTCATTTACCATATTCTCATATTACTTACCTGTGTTAATTTTATTTCTTAATTATATTACTCATAATCAGTTTTATTGCAATTACGCAATTTCTAAAATTATTAATGTTTTAAAATTAATTATATTTATTAAAACAATATACACTATCAAAATATTTATACTTTCTCTTTTATATTCAACCACTATTTGCTTATCATATTGTATACCAGTTTTTCAAATTATTTTGCATTTATTTAAGAATTCTTGTCAACAATTCAACTTTTTCAGTATCAATTCAAAAATATAATTGTTTATCTTAATAAGTTTTCGTAAAAATAATTTAGGAAAACTTAAAATTCGTTACTTTTTTATCAACATAATTATGGAAAATTAAATTTTTAATGGTATGAAGTTTTAAATTTATAACCTTATCAAACCTTGCTACATTTTTTAAACCCAATATAGTGATAAAACAACATTATGGGTTAAAACGCTTCAGGATATAACCAATTGATAAATAAAGTATTCGGAATATAATTGCGATTGAGAGAAACACAACAGAAAACAATTTTCTAGCACCAGCATAATATCGGTGAAAAATATCCACTTTGTTCACATAAGAGCCGGAAGAATATACGCTGTTTGGTGAGCTTCAAAGCGCGTTTGAACCACACTGGGAGATTATTTTCATTCTGTAAACACTACGCCTAATTAATTTTTTAAGAAATGGTAAAATACCACAGTAGTTTTTATTTATTTATTTTTTAACTGTTTCATATTGCTGTTAAATTCCGTTACACAGTCGTCGATTTGAAGAGATGGTTGATTAATTTTTTCCCATAATAGTTTTGAATACAGGAATACGTTATAATTGTGATATTATGATGAAGATAATATGATAATAGCGTAGATGCGAAGATAACATTATCAGATTAAATTTAAATATTTACTTTAAAAACTTACATTCTAAAATTATACATTACAATTATTTGTTTTATTATGTTGACTAAAATTTTATGATTTACATTTGTCTTCATTTGCTCTTGCTTTAGGGCTTTTCTTTAAAATGTCTTCTTTGCCTCTACGTCTTTTCCTCCTTGAAGAGGGGGTTATTCAAAAAAGATAAAAAATACAATTTAAATTAGCAATAACCCCTTAGTACTTAATTTTAATTTTAGTGCTTTCCCGCTGTTCTAAAAACAGTAATACATTTTTCTGCACGGCGTTATTTCGAGACAATCCATGCAATATATTACTCTTATATAAAACTGGTGATGTAAAGGGATACAAAGCTTAGAAATCTAATAATAATTTTACAACAGTATTAATTATCTAATCAAATGCGTTAAGAGCTAACTTATTCTGAATTAAGATTTCATCCGGAACGCAACTTATTTGCTCTCTGTATTTCGAGCTAGTTGCATTGCTGTTTGTTGCTTCTTTCCTTACCGCAAAGCTATCAAAATTGTAAACGTATTAAAATAGG